AAAAAAAAAAAAAAAAGAGCCATGTATATATAAATATACAGTATATGACAGCTATGCACATTGAAAAGGAGATTTTAAAAAGCCAGGCTCCAGTCACCAGTCACTGATTATATGATGCAAAACTGCAACATTCTGTTTCACTGATGAAGTCATACAGGTTTGGCATGAGGGTGAGTAACTGATGAATTTATTATTATCACGTTTGAGTGGACTATGGTGTATGAGTTTGGTATTTTAAAATTAGTCTCACTGAAACAGAAGTCACTGACATTTCAAAAAGGCAAAGAATATCCATGTAGCTTTTAAGGTGAATGCAATATTTTATTAATACCAGAACTGGTTATTGTTATTTATTTATTTTTTTAAGTCTAATTGGTTCATTCAAATGCTTGCTTTTAAAAGAATCTGTATCGGTGTCAGTATCAGTGATACTGTCCCTGTATTTACTTGGTATCGTATCGATACCAAAATTTGCATTATCGCCCACCCCTAGTTGAAACTGCAGGCTATGTTATGATGTTAGGAAAAACTCTGACTGATGCATAGCCATATATAGAGAAATTAAAAGTGAAAGTTGTAGTCTTTACACTAACTTAGACAAACACCTCAGTCAGAGGACAGGTGGACATGGCTACTGCTGAGTTCCCATACACTCTCTGCGTCGAGGGCCAGTGGGATCCCCGCACTCCCAAACTAAAAAACAAGCTTATTGTCTATTTCCAGAGTAAGAAATCCAACGGAGGTGACTGTGATGTGGAATACCCTGTTTCTGGCGGGCAGACAGCAACTGTTCGATTCAAATCAAAGGAAGGTAAAGTTCCCTATAAAACTCTGATCTGAATCACTGTAACATATCATGTAAAAAGTATAGCCTAAAGTGTTGTGTTAATATTATATGTGTCATAGTTTTAGCCGTATCAAAACAAACATGTCATGGAGTTACCGTTGGAGAATTCCAAGAAACTAAACTTAGGGTATTTTTGAAAAGGTCCTGTGTTCATGCTTATGATCTCTTAACGGTGATTTACCAGAGAAGACTGTATGTGTGAAAGGGGCTAAAATCTTCCTCTGTATATGGGTGATTCTATAATTGGAGATACATTTGGCATTGCAGAAAGTTAAGAAGAAAATACTTTTCACTAACAGATTTTTTTTTCAGTATCTTATTGAAAACATCTTTAATTTTAATAATGCAGTGCTTGCCAAACACAAGTTACTTCCTTTCATCTGAACATGTATTATATACAATATCAAGTTAAAACAAGAAATGTTGTTGAAATATTATAAGGGTGCAAAAATAAATCAATAATGTTTGTTAGATTTTAAACAACAATTTTATTTATTTATTTATTTATTTTTGGAAAATAATTAATAAACAGAGTTGACCCTTTAAGTAACCAGCCTGGTCTCATGTTTAAACGTAGGTATTAATACGTAATATTTACAAGCACAAAACGTAAATTTTTGTACGTTTTTATTGGTGCTAAAACGTACAATTTAGACGTATTTCAACGTTTAAAACGTACAAATCGCTACGTATTTTTAGTTAAAAAATTTAAAAATATTTACTTATCTTTTGTATCATTAAGATATTCATATCAGTGCATTTTTATAATTTTATCAATAAGCGATTTAGATTTTTAGACCCCTTAACCTACCCCAAACCTAAACCTACCCATTTTATAGCGAATATGCATTTTATAATTTTATCAATCAGTGATTTAGATTTTTAGACCCCTTAACCTACTTAACCTACCTTAACCTACCCATTTTATAGCGAAAATAAAAGGATATAAAACGCAATTGACCGAAATATGCGAAATATGCACCATTTTAGTAACAATATAGCATT